GAAAGTGAGTGAAAGTGAGTGAAAGTGAGTGAAAGTGAAAGTCAAACTGCTTGAATCGGGGATGGCTTCAATAGCGGACGCCGGATTGATTTCACCCCCCACAGCCCGGCCGCTTCATCGTGCAACGAAGATACGCGTGGCGCGAAGCTTGTATAACTGGAGGTGTGAGGTCATCATGCCTATTCGGGTGCCTGGCGAGAAATCTATGGCCTAAAGAAGGAGGGAAAAAGGGAGGGAAGACAGAGGCCTAGGAGTATATCTCCTTATTCAGCTTCGAAGTTGATCATGAGGGGCGGTGAGAGGGCCTGGTCGAGGAGGTCTTTTGTTGATATTGACATTGCAGCTTCGTTCCGTCAATTTACCTTACAGGATGCGGATGCTGCGGGTGAGAAGGCACAGCATTGCAGCGATGGTGTCGGTGAGCAATAGGGACTTAATGCTGGCTGCTGGCTCCTGGGGTGGGCTTGGCTCAAGCTCAGAGGCTGAAATAATCTCGAGCTCGAACTCGGGTAAGTGGGAGGCGTGGGCTTGCAGGAACATGAAGGGGTTATAGTTCGTTGGCGGGTAGGAGGCTGATCTCCGGGGAGAGGAGGACCGACTGGGAACTTGCGCAAGAGGGAGCATCGTAGAGAAAAAAAGCTAGGAGGAGATGACTCCTGCAGCGCTGTGAAGTACCGCTAACATACGCCCCTGCTTGCTTGCTTCCCGCAAACGTAGAGAACCGGTGTCTTCGACGTCTGCTGATGGATGAGGTAAGCTTGGGAGAGATATCGATGACGGATGAGGTTTTCAATCTAGCGGGCGGCCTTGTAGGGGGGCCCCCGAATGAGGCACATAGGAATAGGTAGATTGCGGATCTATTCTGATATGCTATTGAGGAGTTTTCTGAACCTTTCCAGCTTTCCAAGCGGGATTTACGAAGTACAATGAACGAAGATGCCACATGACAATGGCCTGATAATGACCACATTCCGCGCCTCGGATGAAGACTCTGGTTGAACAATGTTGTCGGAAATGGAAGTAGTTAACCAGATTCTGATATTTGGCATGTTTCGTGTCCACGACACGGATCCCAACGCCTTTCCAGACGCAGGCCCGTGAACTGGGGATTGTGCTCACATGCCCTCCGAGAACGCGAGGTAACAGATGATAGATGCGAGACATGAGATATCTCGAGGGAGAAAGGCAAAGTCCAAATCCGTAGAGAGTCGATCTCAGAAATTTCAATATATCTGGCATGAGCTGTGGTTTAAGTGGACCGGCTCGGGGTCTATATCCAAATGGAAAGTGAATTTACCTACCGGTAGCTCTGTCTATCTTGGCTTGCCTTTGAGTAAGGGCAAGTAAGGAGATAGACTTCACCGATCAGCCGCTGATGTTATGACATTGAGGCTTTTCGGCAACCGGTTATTGGCACGAGAATGATAGGCTGTAGGTAGCATGGTCAGAGCTGAAGCCTGTACCTAGCCTATGCTCCGTTTCGAACCATCTATCCCCGTACCGATTCTTGCATGGCATTGGTTCCTACAGGAGCTTTGAGCCGGTGACGGTGACGATGAAGATGAGGGCCACCAGACAATCTGGAAGCCCTGTTTTTCTCAGCTATCGTGCTACCCGGTCAGGGAGTAGCGGTAGCGAAACGCTTTTCGCTTGATATGAACGGGTATTTGCCGCTGAGATAGGAATGAGCTGGGAAAGAGGTTGTCAACTGTAGCCGGATGGTAAGACGTCGCCGATTGCTTGCTCCGCTATCATAAAGAGAGATCAGGGCGAAGTGAAATGAGGCGGAGTCGCTAGTGGACTGCGTAGTCCATAGCTTAGAAGGGGGCCGGCCACTTGACCCCTCATGTGACTTGGTCACTTGGATCCCATTTCTACTTGTAATACCCCGATCTTCTTTCTATCTGGGCATCAAAAGCAAAATCGAAGTCTATGTCAAAATCCCGCAAAGATAGAGTCAATCCAATTGCAGAATCGAACCTCCATGCGTCAGCTTCGTGCAACAAGGCCGTCTGCTGCCCGTTTTCGACGAACCATTTCTCTGACAGCACATCTTGCACTTTGCAGCTTGCATAGACAGCATAGAACAGCGCCTCAGAGTCATTATGCGTGGGCGTGGCCGAGGCCTTCCTGCATTTGGGCCTCATTCTATTCCCAACCGCTTCAGATTGATATGCCCCCAGGCTGCCTTTCTCCTTAACAAACAAGCGAGATGAACCCCCATGTCACGATGAATTATGCCCGATGCGCCTCCCCTTACCTTTCCAGGCCACCTCACTCTGTTTCTGCTGCCGCTTCTGCGCTGCCGCTACCTTTGCCTCTGAAATAATGACCTCTACTCTCTGCCCTGCCCTCTCTGCTTCGGCCTGAGTCTAGACCATGAATGGAATGCGAGCTCCTGGTCCGAGCAGCATTGTTCATCTGACGTCTGTTCGGCAAGTCGTTGACGCCAGCCAGCGGCTACGCACATGAGATAGAATAGGGGGATCCATCCGTTGAGGATTGCTAGCTGTGGGCACTCCAGGGCTAACATAAACAGACGGTTACGTTGCCTGCAGCGTCCCCGTTCATCGGATTGACTCGCTATCGTCGCCTAATACCTTGCTATCACGGACTTTGATGGTGTTGAGGAGCAAGCCTTGATGACCCAGCAGCACTTTGACCAACCCGGCCCTGGCTCACTTCACTTCACCTCACCTCACCTCATCTCACCCATGTATCGATCAGGGTGCAACAGTGGGGTGCGTACGAAGCCGGCACCAAACGCCATAAGGGACACCAGATTTTCAATTCCGGCATCGAGAGGAACGGATGGGATCTCCGGCCATTGACATGGCGAGGGAAGGAGACGACCTGGAATTGAGGTTACGCGACAGGTAGCCGCGTGATAGGAATGGGTCTTCTCAATGAGCTGCAGATGAAAGCAAACACGAGCTTCCAGCTTCGCACTTGGGCTGGCAGCAATCCATTCCCTCCGTCAACCGCCTCCTCAGGCAAGCAGATCTGTGCCTCGCCATCTTGCGTGCTGCATCGTGGTCTGGTCAGCTCAGCATGAGTGCGCACCCTCCCGCGGTCTGTGATCTCTCCGAGACAGCGGACTGGACTTGAGTGGACTAGGTAGGCCTGGGAACCTCAGGCGAGGAAGCAGGAGGTGTATAGTTCACCGTCCATAGTTCATCGTCCATAGTCCGTTGTCCATTGCTCATGGCTTGGAAGGGCATTATTCAATAGTCTTGGGGCTACTCATGCCGTACGACGTATACAGAGTAGGCGTGGACGGCGGATAGTTCGTGAGCTCGGGGGGAGGAGTTCGTCCGCTTCTCTGGAAGGCGGTGGGATCCGGGGGGTGTTGTTGCACTGGAAGAAGGTTCGTCGGGAGTGACATTGGGACCTGGGACTTGTGGAACATATGGATATACATGGATACGAAGATACGTAATGAGATATGTCGATAGCGCGTTGATGACTTGAAGCGTGAGGTGAAGGAAGGATGCGTGGGGGAGGTGAAGGAGGTAGAATGGAGTGTGGGTAGTGTAGATGCTAGAGACGAAGCGGCAAGTAGCGAAGATGATCTCGACGGGCAGGGGCAGCGACATCTCGGCCAAGAAATTATTCGGTTCCTCGCTGTTCTGTTGTCATTGCCGCCACTCGAGCAACTCTTTCAACGCAAGTCAAGCCAAGCCCCCCGTTTCCATCTCCGTCTTGATCAAAATTACGGCCCTGTACAGTATCCCCCTTCTCAATCCAATCCCATCCAATCCAGTCCAATCCAATCAGCAGCGCCTATCTCCAAGTCTCCAAGTCTCCAAAAGCCCATCCTCCGCTCACCGACTTATTCAAGTACGTATGTACAGCTGTAGGTGTATATATATATAATTTATATATACCTATATACATATACATATATACCCATATATCTTAATGTTTAAAATGAAGAAATCAAAAAGATAAACAAACAAATAATATAAGCGAATAAATCAACCTCGCCTTGCAATTGCCCAATGCCGATGCGGATAATAACAGCTAATGCCGTACCACCCGCGGCGTGGACAAGGAAGAGAAGGAATAGAAAGAGAAGAAGAAACAAAGAGGTGGGCTGTCATCTCGCACAAGATTCCTTTACATGCGCGATGTCATGCTGCGGGTCGGTGCTGCTTGCTGCCTGTTGATTACTGCTGCCTTTTGTGTGACGGATGGATCGATTTATACGTGGAAAGAAGTTGGAGGAGGGGGGTGGGGGTGAGGGATGAACGAATAGGATAGATACCGGTAGATAGATGGATAGATCGAACTTCTGTCTAAAACTATTCGATTGGTTCAAAATACATCTCCGCGCCGTTGTCTGTCATTTGCTGATTGCCACTTGGTTGATCCATTTAATCTATTCGGACGAGCTAGAAAAGGGAAAAAAAGGCAGAATAGAAGATCTGTTCAATCAAACCGATACGAAAATTCGTACCTAAAATCTATTATAAATCGCTATTAGATTTAAACGCATCAACCAGCCAGGCAGTTTGTCAGGTAGTCCAGCCAGCATGCTAACTAATTACCTCTATAACCATTTCTCTACACTTAGCTGCTTATTCACTTAATTACCTACTCACTTTGTAACGTCTCGCCAAGATCATCAATATACAGAATGGAATGAAATTCAATCCATTCCAATAAAAACAAACTGCAAATTTACTAACCCCAATCCCAGAATTCAATCCCTCCACTCACGGTTGATTCGATAACCAATCGAGAAACCTCATCTTCTAACTCTCGTTATAGAAAACGTAACTATGATTCGTCAGAGAATACATATATCATCTATCCATCCATCCATTATTACTATGTAAAAAGGGATCCAGCCAGCTGAAAAAGACGCAACAGCAACAGATCCCGACACACGCATACTCCGTAGAGGGAAAAAAGGAAGAAGCGGGAGAGAAAGTAGGTATGCGGAAGCAAAAGTATTTACTTACTTAATTCCGTTGTCGGTGCGGCTACTTGCATCAAAGAGCTACGGAGTATGCGCGCATGCGTGCATGCTTCCATCTACCCATGTATATGTTAAAGTGAGCAATGCCTGGCTTAATTCGCCCGGCTGGCTCGGAAGTATCAAAATCTGCAGGTAAGCGAAACGAAGCCAGCTGGCTGGCTGGTCTGCCTCTGCTGGGTATTTATTTAGCTACCTACCTAAACAGATAGACAAGTGTTGCAGCTTAAGAAAGTTGCTGTTTACTTTAGCATCAGTGTTTACCCATCTTCAATCTCTCTCTCTCTCTCTGTCTCTCTGTCTCTTGCTCTCTCTCTTTTCTGTGGAAGCAAACAAACAAGCTAGCAAGCAAGCAAACAAGCAAGCAAACCTTTCCCTTCCTTCCCTCCAGATCTCAAAAACTTGGATCGGTGAGAACTTAAGAAAGACGGGAACGGGGGTTTGTAATATACCCAGCACGCTGGCCATGGATCAAAACGTACGACTGCTACGTTTGCTTTTACTTTTATTTTTATTTTTGATCTGGCCGAACCGCCTGCAGCCGTACGCAACTAAGCGAACGATTGACCTCTCCGCAAGGCTGCTTTTTTCTTCCCCTTTAACTGTCTATCATTATTGTTATTGTGATTTTCATAACTATGAATGCCGTCATCGGTAAGTTATAATATGGGAGAGGAGATTATGTTATATGCGTGCCTGGTGTGCAGTCACTTGATACACATACACATCTATACATATATACACATATGTATGGACCACTCACTCACTTACATAGCTCTTACAAAAGAACGAGAAAAAGCCAGCCTGAAGCTAAAGATGTGAGACAGAAATTGGAATGCCGTTTCAAGCAGAGGCATTCTTAGATACGAGTAAAGTAAGCTATGAAATTTTCAAAGGCCTGCTTTACCTACTTGCTTGCCTGCTTTGTTTGTATCGGTTAACGTTTCTACCCGCTGCATCCACGCATGCGCGCATACTCTTCAAGCTCTCTCTCTCCCAGCCTTGCTTGCTACCTGCTTGCTCCACGATAATAACATCCCCCACTGATTGGTCCCTTCCCTTCTTTCTCTTTTCTCGTCTCTTCCCGTACGGTACTGTACTCTAGCTGAGACGTCCATTCAATGGCGAGTAGAATTCATGACTTTCAGGTAATCTCTAAATACTCTAAACCGCTTTTACATAATAAGCACCTTTGCTTTGCAGATTCTAGAGCCTAGTCCAGTTGAAGATATCCCTATCCCTGCTGGTTTGAATTCAAGCTCAGCTCAGCTCAACTCAGCTCAGCAGCTCGCAATCTCAGATTTAAGAGCGCTGCAATCCAGGATCTCCCGGCCTTTAGGATATCCTATCCTCCCTCTGGACGACGGCGATGGGCGGTGAAAGGAAGAGCGACTGTAGCTACGACGAGGGAAAGAAAGGTCAGACTTCCTTCGTTTCAGCCTAGGGCTAGAATAAGATTCGCTTGATTGATTGGCCGGCTGGCTGCTTGCTTGCTTGAGTTTGAGCTTGAGCTTGAGCTTGAGCTTGAGCTTGAGCTTGCCCGGGCTTGATTGCCTGCTTAACGTGAATTGGCTTGCTCATCCTGGCTGGGGAAAAGTGGGGTCGGAGAAGATGATCGCCGTAGAAGCTACAGGGCCGGGGGAGATCCACCAGGGGTCGTACAGTGCAGCAGAGCAGAGCACAACAGGGCAGAGCGGGTACAGTAGGTATATTACAGCATATGATGATAGTATAGTGCGGGAGGGGAGGGAGGGGCGAGGGACGCTTACAGGCCAGGCAGGCAGGCTGTTTGAGGGTGTGGGCGGAAGGGATTATGAGATAGGTAATGTATGGGGGTTTTTTTGTTTGTTTGGTTTGATTTGGTTTATACGATGGGTGTCAGAGCGGATGGGCATGTGGAGGAGTGGAGTTGGATGGGATTATCGAAGCTGGCTGGCTAGCTGGCTACCATATGATCGATCCCACACGGTCATATCATATCATATCATATGATCGTGAACGTGATCGTGATCGTGATCGATCAACCTCGGGATACAGCGAGTATACCGAGGTCAGCAAAGTCAACAAACAAGTAAACAAGTGTTTTCCGAAAGGAAGAACAAAAAATAACTGACTAACTAAAGCAGCTAAATTATCATGTGTAGCGAGCTAGCTAAACGATCTCTTATCTCGAGCGGCTGTGCATCTGTGATGGATAGGTATCCGAGACAGACAACGCCAGTGCAGTTTATCGATTTATGGTTTCGGCATTCGCGAGGCCGAGCAAACTGTCAAGTACCACCGGTAAGCTTACGCTTAGCCCCGGACGTCCCCAGAGCAGAACCTAGCTAGGTACGGTCGGAGGGGCGCTAGGACTAGGACTCGGACTGGGAGTAGGACTGATAGGACTGGTAGGACTAGGACTTGGACTTGGACTAGGACTAGGACTAGGACTAGAAGTGGCGCAGTAGCAGGCGGGCAGACAGATAGTCAGTCAAGCTCCAGCTAGGCTGTTACCCCACACGCTAGCTAGTGTAGTTAGTTCATCGACACAGAGATCGCTACTACTGAGCTAGCCAGGAAGTCATTCAGGCAGTTAGTCTGTCAGACAATGGAACTGAGAATGAAGAATTTGATCGATGTCAATGCTGAGGGGAGGAGGAAGAATAAGAATAAGAAGTGAGTTACGACATTAAAAAAGTCCCGTGATTGGCAGCCAATAGTTGCTTATTGAGTTTTGATTGTTTACTATTATATCGCTCTACGAAGTATGCATAGATACACACCTACATACATTACCTCTATAGATAGAAGCTATACTGACTGACATAAGGGGACTTCAATCACATCACGTAATAAGCATAGTTCCTCAACTCTCGGGTCACTAGATCAAGAATCTCATGTATCCACTAGACGATAGATAGAGATAGACAGAGATCGAGGTCAAGAAAACACATGTCCAGCCCCCATTCACCGGAACGAGCGATCCAGGAGTGAGTGAGGCTGATCGATTTGCATCGCAGCGGTGCGTACGTGCCGTGCAGCAGTAGCCAGACCAGTCCAGGCCAGTCCAGGCCAGCTCATGCCAGACTCAGCTTAGGTCTCTCGGGAGCGATGCCGGATTCCACTTAGAACACCCCCCGCTACCACCCTGCACTGCACCGTGCCTGCAGAGCAAATACGAGTGATCGATCACATTCTGGATATCCCCTCTCCCATCCATCTATATTTCTATATTTCTATATTTCTGTCTATCTATATGTCTACCAGGCTGCACTGCACTGCGCGGCGGTGATCCGTGTACGCTGGATGGCTGCTGGGTTGGATCATGTTGAGGTTTGATTTTAATTCTACTCTATTGTACTTTGACCTCACTAACTATTCATCACTACCCCATATTAACTGCACGTGTCTGATTTATCGGAGAGCAAAGGGCGGCGGACTGTTACAGATACTAGATGCGAAGCGATACCTGGGGAAGAATGCATCCGCTTAGCTTAGCCTAGTTAACTAGTAAAGTAAATAAAGTATCTTGGACCCCGAGACCTAACCGCAACTCCCCTCACCTCTCCCTTGTAATTGTTTAAATTCCGTGCGCGAGTTAGCGCGCGTGTGGTCTATGGACATGGATATGTA